CCCGGGCCCCAGCCGCCTCGGGGGCCCCAGGGCTCCCGTCGGGAACGTGGAGTAAAACGTGGCCCGTAGGGTGGCCCCGCAGACTGAGTGCAGAGCCGGTGCTGGGGGTGCGTGTGCGCTTGCCGGCCTCGAGCCGCTGCTCTCCGGTGGCCGGGGGAGGGGTGTGCAGTGTCCGCTGCTGCCGGGTCCCCAGTCTCATTTAGGGTGGAAGACAGGGATGGGGCTCAGAACAGGGCACCCCAGCGTGCCTCTGCTGTGCACATTGTTTTGAGCTAAGGGCAATTTCTTTTTACTCCATTATTATTATTTTAATGTAGAGGGGAGAGAGGAAGGGGGTTGGAGGGGGAGAGAAAAAACGTCGGTGTGTCTCACTCACATCGATCGGTTGCCTCCCTCGGGCACGCCGACCGAATCGAACCTGCAGCCCAGGTGTGTGCCCTTGACCGGAATCCACCGGACCAGCGGCCTCACCGCTGTGCAGGACCAGCCAGGGCGCTTCAGGCCCAAGACACTTGTGCCTCCTCCCTTTACTTAGAAGAACTGGAATCAGGGGCCTTACCCATATTACCACCCATAATCCCACCTCTATGGCCGGCAGACTTGTTTCCTGAATGTCTGTTCTTGACCTGCTGCGACCCTTTAAAGCCCCCAGGATGTGTCACCTCATCCCCAGCTCAGGGCGGCCTACACCCAGCTCCCCCTTTCTGCCCCGAGCCTCTCCTGCTTGTGGGGTGCCATACATGTATGGGTACATTAAACTCGGTTATTTTCCCTTGCTAATTAGCCTCATGTTTGTTTGTTTATTAGGCCAGACCCGCCAGAAGGTCCTTGAGGGCAGAGGAAAGTTTGTTCCTCCCCCACAAGCCTAAGCCCTTAAACATCTTAGGTTTTGTGGGAGGAGTTGGTCCACTGTCCATCCTTCCTGTGCCTCCCTAGGTGCTAAAATGCACGATGCATAGAATTCCTTAGGTTTTTTAGTGTTCTCATAATTTTTTAAAATTTTCATTTACCAGGAGACTATAACTGCCATGTCTGCCGGTACTTTGCCAAAACCTCAGATGCGCGGCCTTCTGGCCAAGCGTCTGAGATTTCATATTGTTGGAGCCGTAATTGTGTCCCTGGGGGTTGCAGCTTCCTATAAGGTATGTATGTTTGATTTTTACTTGGTGCTTATGGTCCCAATTGTGCTTTACATTTAAAAATGCATTTTATTTTCATAAGCAATTTCACGTCTTCTAAAGAAACTCTTTAATGTGCTTCCTTCCTCTGACTCTCCCTGCATTCACCTCACGTGATAGAAAAGTACCTTATTCCCAGATAACGTATCCTCCATCTGTAAATGAAACTGAATGAGTTTGCTAGGGCTTCCATAACAAAGTCCACAAACTGGGTGGCTTCGACAACCGAAGTTTTATTTTCTGTTCTGGAAGCTAGAAATCTAAGGTGGTTCCTGGATTGATTTCTCCTGAGGCCTCTCTACTTGGCCTGTAGATGGCTGAATTTTCTCTTAATAGGACACTAATCATATTGGTTAGCACCTGCCCTGAAGACCATGTGTGATAAATTACCTTACTGGTGCTTGACCAGGACATTCAAAACCGGTTGATTGTTTCTGGCCCTGGCCAGGTGGCTCAGTTGGTTGGCGCATCATCCCGTACACCAAAAAAATGGAAGGTTCCATTCCTGGTCTGGGCGCAGACCTAGGTTGCAGGTTCGATCCCCAATAGGGGTGCATATGAGAGGCAACCAACTGATGTTTCTCTCACATTGATGGTTCTCTCTAAAGTCACTAAACATCTGGTGAGGATTTAAAAAAAAATGTTTCTGGAAAAGATTGAAACAACCATTAGGTTAGGTCTTAAATCTAGGTTTGGTATCGTGGGCTTTAGCACAAGTGCCATTTTGTGCCTGTGGCTTTTTCTTTTTTGACTGATTTCAGAGGGGAAGGGAGAAGGAGAGATAGAAACATCAATGATAGGAGAGAATCATGCATCGGCTGCCTCCTACACACCCCACACTGGGGATCGAACCCGCAACCCAGGCATGTGCCCTGACTGGGAATCAAACCGTGACCTGGTTCATATGTTGACGTTCAACCACTGAGGCACACTGGCCTGGCTGGCTTTTCTTTTTGACAGCACCTTCAAGAATTGTTGCCATAGGCGAAAAAAAGAATCAAAAAAGAACTGTTAGAAAATTGCTTTGCAAATTAAAGCTTTACCCTCTTTAATGTTATGCCTTATTGTAAATATTTTTTATTGTGGCAGAACACACATAACAAAATCGAACCATTTCTAAGTGTATGGTTCAGTGGTATTACAAACATACATAATGTTGTGCAACCTTTTAGATTTCTGGGTATTTTCCTTCGGCTCCTGCCAGTCTACCCTCTCCCTACCACCATGGACACCCACAAGGAATTTCCCTCCCCAGGCAGGGAGGGCCCTTGCCGACTAGTTTCTCTGAGATTTCTTTCCCTTTCCTTGCATCTGTGTCAATGCCCCCAACCTTTGTCTTAGGAAATACAGGGGTCAAGTTAAAGGTGAACACAAACAGTTTGATTTATGTTGTCTTTAGATGATAAGTTTCTAATCTAAAAAATAAGCCATAATGGGATATGCTCTTTTTCAGTTCGGTGTAGCTGAACCAAGAAAGAAGGCATATGCAGATTTCTACAGAAATTATGATTCCATGAAAGATTTTGAGGAGATGAGGAAGGCTGGTATCTTTCAGAGTACAAAGTGATCTTGGAATGTAAAGGTAATATGAAGTTATCATTTAAAAATTGTTAAAATTGTGGTACCACCTTAACTATTTTTAATGTATAATTCAGTATTGTTAAGCAAATCCACATTGTCCTGTAACCAATCTCCAGAACTCTTCATCTTACAAAACTGAAACTCTGTACCCATTTAAACAACTCTTCATTCCCTCCCATTCCTGGCAACCACCATTTATATCAGAGTATTTGTCTTTTTGTGACTGGCCTATTTCACTTAATGTAATGCCCTCAAGGTTCATCTGTTACAGCATGTGTCAGAATATCCTTTTTAAAGCTAACTATTGCATTTTATGTATATACCATATTTTGTTCATTTATCCATCAGACACTTGGATTGCTTCTGTTTTTTGACTTATGCATAATACTGGTATGATGTTTATGTTGTTAGCAGTGGGAAAGACACCACGTGTAGACAGGTGGGGTCAGACCAGACCTGGTTTCTGGCTAAGAAAGAATTCGGAGCCAAGACCCAAACTGTAAAAGAACATTAAGTAATTCCTAGAAGAAATGGGCTTAGGAAACAAGTTATGGAGACAAAGGAAGGGCCCTAGGAGCTCGGGAGTGAGGAAGCTAATGGTAACTTGCCTGGGGCAGGGACGGGGAGAGCAAAGGCAAAGGCTGTGCTCCTGGGAGGGAGAGCACACTTCCTGTCCTGGGTCCTAAGGGTTCTAAGGGTGGAGATTTTAGGGGAGGTCCCAGGAGAAGATCTCAATAGAATAGTCATCAGGTTTCCAGGTGTGTCCTTCAGGGTGTGGTCTTCATTGATTGATTGTGGCACCAGGGCAGGGGGTCTTTATTCTATGAGCTGGTCCTGAGGCTGGTTTTGTTGCTTATCTGGGCCTGGAACTGGAATTCAACTGAGGCCTAGAAGTTATCTCTAGGAGGCAAGGTCAGGGGTTCAGAACCTGGTGACTGGGGGTCACCCTGGGGATGAGGGCCTACCTACAGTTGATTGATGGTAGGCACCTGGGGCTTTCCACCCTGGTGACCTCCTGTACCTGGCCCATGGTCCTTTCTCCACTCAAGTCTAACTGCCCACCGCTTTTATAAATAATCTCTCTGAGTAAATACCCAGAAGTGGAGTTGCTGGATCATATAGTAGTTCTATTTTACTTTGTAAGGATCTGCCATACTTATTTTGCATAATTTTTACACTCTAGCAACAGTGTAAAAAGGGTTCCAATTTCTTCACTTCCTCAGCAAACTTGTTTTCTGTTTCATGATGTTGAGCATCTTTTATCATGCTTGTTGGCCATTTGTATATGTTCTTTGAGGAAATGTCTATTCAAGTTCTTTGCCTATTTTTAATGTCGTGTGCACTTTTATTTCAACTTGCAGGCCCCGTTTTAATTTGCAACTCCCATTGCAGGCCTATTAGTAATGAACTCCATATCCTTTAGCTGTTGTTTACCTGAGAATGCCTTTAATTTCTTATTTTTGAAGGACAGTTTTCCTGGATATAGGGTGTTTTTTGTGAGCACTTTAAATATATTAATGGGTAGCCTTCTGATCTGCAAGGTTCATGCTGAGAAATCCATTGCTAATATAACAGGCCCTGTTGTAGACTGAATCCATTTTTCACTTGCTACTTTTTAAAGGTTGCCTTGCCCTCTGTGGCTCAGTGGTTGAGCATGGATCTATAAACCCGGTTGTGAGCTTGCTTCCCAACAGGGGGCATGCAGGAGGCAGCCAATTAATGATTCTCTTTTATCGGTGTTTCTTTTTATCCTCCCATCCTCTGTGAAATCAATAAAAGTACATTAAAAATAACACACACACACACAACAAATTGTAATAAAAAAAGATTGTCTCTGGTTTTTGACAGTTTGATTATAATGTGTCTTAGTGTGGATCTCTTTGGGTTTATCCTACTTACAAGTAATGTCTTGTAATAGTATATATATTTCTCCAAATTTGGGGCATTTGGGCCATTGTTTCTTCTAGATAAGTATTTTGCCCCTTCTCTTGTTCTGGGTTTCCATAATGGATATGTATTGGTCTTTTGGTGATATCCCATAAGTCCTTTAAGCTCTCATTTACTTTTCCTTTTTGCATCTTAGACCCAGTAATTCAAATGAACTATTTCCAGGTTTGCTGAATCTTCTGTGTGAGTCTGTGTTTGACACAGATGGCTGTGTTCTCCCACTGCTAACACCCTCTAGTGAATTTAATAATTCAGTTACTGTAGTTTTCTGTAGTATTTTGTTTTTTTTATTTTCTGTTAATATTCTCATTTTATTCATATATTGTTTTCCTGATTTTGTTTAGTTGTCTGAGTTCTTTAGCTCATTGAGCAAATTTAAGACAGTTTTAAAGACTGACAAGTCAGTCAATGTGTGTTTTTTCAGTGTTGTTTTCTGGAGATTTATTTTGTTCCTTTGATTGAGCCACGTTTCTCTTTATGTCTTGTGATCTTTTGTTGAAATTTAGGCATTTGATTAAACAGCCACCTCTTTTGTTGTTTTTAGATTTGCTTCATGCAGGAGATCTTAACAGCCTGGCATAAAGGCTTACGGTTTGTCTCAAACTTTTTCTGGGGTTATGTCTTAGTTCTCAAGTATAGTCAGTCACTTTTAAGAGCTCCTAAGATTCTGACTCCTGCTTCCTCTAAGTAGCCTTAGCTCTTCTTTTGTAGTAGGGGCCCAGTGCACGAATTCATGCACCTTGAAAGGAACTGTGGGCCACGAGTCTGTGGTGGGTCTTGGCCCATACTCCGTGCCCTCGCCTGGTCCCTCCCTCCGTGGCCCAGTCCTGTTTGCCAGCAGCCCCACTTCCGCCACCGCTGCTCCCACGCGCTGATGGTACCAGCCCTGCTTGCACCTGCTGACAGCGTGGGGCGATTGGGGCTGGCACTGTCGGGTGTGAGTGGCAGCTACTGTCCCAGTCACCCCTCAGGAACAGGGGGATGTGGAGAAGCCCTCAGGGGCAATCGGGGCGGTAGCCACTGCTCGCACCCACTGACAGCGCCAAGTGATTGGGGTGCTGGGCGCTGGCAGTGGGTGTGAGTGGCAGCTCCAGCGCCAGCAGCGGGTGTGAACAGGGCTGGTGCTGGCAGCAGGTGTGAGCGCCAGTGGGACAGCGGCATGCGGGAGCAAAGAATTTTCAACAACCACCAGAGGCTCACCCCAATGACAGTGACTGGCGCCCCGCCTTGGTCTGGTGCCCCGCTCACTTGCTCCACCATCCCACTGCGGCCGATGCCTGCCATGTTCCACACGTGCCCCTGGTGATCAGCACGTCATAGCCACAGGTTGTTCAGTTCCACTGTTTGGTCTATTTGCATATTAGCTTTTTATTATATTGGAGAAAAAAGAAAAAAATATATATATGTGGCCTGATGCACAAAATTCGTGTAAGGGGCTTGTCCCTGGTGGCCCCAGCTGCCTTGGCCGGCCCTCGCAGCCCTGGCTTCATCCAGAAGGTTGTCCGGACTGTTGTTCTGCTGTTCGGTCTAATTAGCATATTATTAGGTCTTTATTATATAGGATTGCTCAGATCATAATCTCTTGCTCATCATTCCCTCTGCAGCTCTTTTGTGTCATGAGACCCATCACTGCTTTCAGCAGCTTGCAGGCTGGTTCTAAATGATGTCACCATTCCCATTAGTGCTCCGAGATAGGCAAGTAGAAAACAGTCCCTAAAACAAGCCAGAATGCAGCCAGTTCTCCGCCTCCTGTCCTGAGGGAGAAGCCAGGAGCTGGCTGGGTTCCTCCTAACCACAGTTACCCTGAGGGTGGGAGGAAAAAATTCATGAAATTTCCTGCTGTTTTGAGTGGCTGTTTCTTTTTTAGGTGTTTGCTTATTTGCAGCAGCTTCATAACTGGTTTCTAGTTCTCACACAGACACATTGGTTCTTACGTTTATGGGTTACTGTGGGGGAGCGGGAGCCTGGAGCTTCATAGTCAACCATCTTGCTGACTTAGGTTCAAAATGCTCTTTATTGCTAAATTGGCATTAGGAAAACCACACTTTTAGAAGTGTTTCATTTTTTTAAATACTTATTTTCTTAAATTTATCACCCCCCGCCCCCCAGCCTTGAATGAATCAGTTTTAGCTTTCGGCCCAGGGGTGTCTCTCAGGTCAGTACACAGCCTCTTGGCTTGTTCATGTATCACTGCCTCCGAAATGTCGAAATGTCGCTGGCTAACTGCTTTTCCATTTTCCAAATCAGTAACTGTTTTTCTACCTCTTTGTGATCATTGTTTCTTTCACATCTTTAGCAACATTAGCCCTCTTGATGGCCTTTTTTTTTTTTTAAATGGTGCTAATCATTGGTTTTGGCAGCAACAAAAGTGTTCTCTCCTTTGTGGCCTGGGAGCCGCTTTTTTTTTTATGCTGAGGTATCAGGGTTGTCATTTCAAAAACCAAAGTTTGGTTCTACATTTTTTTTGTAAACAACCTGGTGGAGAACCCATTTGTTCAAGATGGGAGACATGTAAGAAACAAGGTTTGACTGTATAAATAGGATTAAAGGTTCTCTCCATCCAGTGTGAGTTTGATGTGATAAGGGGAAGGCGACTGTTTTTCAGGGAGACTGTACCTGAATGAGCATTCCAAATGTCATATATCTATCTTTCCCAAGGTCTGGGGTGTGGGGGAGACCTATTACATTGGACTTCAGATCACTTTTCTGAAAGACTTGAGAGACATTTACGTATCTTTTGCCCAATATAAGACTCAGTTCCATAATCCGTTTCCATAGCTGCTTAAGTAGTATCTGAAATGCAGAATGATGCATGGACTAATTAGCCATAGAATAACTTAGAAAAAGTACAGAGAACTTTATTTCCAATTGTTGGAAAATTGATGAGGCCCATTAGAAAAAATGATTCACAAACATGAACAGATAGATTATTTTAAGATAGAAAATTAGGAATGTTAAGGATGATCATGTTAAGTAAATTACACAAAATCCCTGAAGAAAATGTTAATGGTTCTGTATAGAGTCTTAATCTTAACATTGCTATTTTCTTATAACTGACATTTTCAAATTTTACTCAGTGGGTATTCATTTCATGATTAGATGTTAACAGGATGATTTCAAATATTAGATTTTTACCTTTTTATATAAGAAGTTAATTGTGTTTAAAAGCCATTAAGAAAAACAAACTTGGAGACAGAAATAGAAATTGTTTAGAACAGATGGGCTGCTGCTTTTAAGAAGAGTTTGTGGGTATGAGAAGGGAATGTGGACGGGGATTTGAGAGAAGGGAAAAAACCAGTTTGGAAAGTGAAAGCAAGAAGCCAGAGATAGGGTGTTGTAATTCCTGAAATGGAAAGGAAGCTGGTCAGGGAGTTTGGTGTAGAAAGGACCGTGAGCTCAGGGAGCTTGAACTGGGCTTCTCTTGGGCTTAAGGTGAATGAGCAAAGCATGGGCTACTAGTAGGAACAGACCTTATGTGATCTCAGGGTGGTAAGATACTCAGAGAGATTGAGAATGCTGGATATTAACTTAGCAACTGTGTTCTTCTCCACAGAATTTCTTTGGGTTGAATTCCACGGAAGTTTGTCACCGACCTGTGTTCCTGAACTATGAAACATGAATATTTGAGCTAAGGAATAGTTTATCTTGATAAATAAACAATGAAATACTGTGGACAGTAAGTGTTTGTTCAGTTATTCTTAATGATGTAATTTTGGGCACTTGCATCAGAATTGGTTAGGGATTTTTAACTGTTTAAGATAACTTAATTTCAGTTTAAATTTCATTATTTTAGGACATTTTTTTATTACTGATGTTTTGCCCATTTCATTGCGATATGCTGCTAAGTACAGTTTCTTAGTCCTGGGTCATTGATTTAAGCCAACATGACTATTATACTGCCGGCTGTTACAAGAGACAGGGACCAACTGAGCTACCTGGCCAGGGCCTTAACTTAGAATTTTTGTGTCTTAAAAATGTGAGCTGAATTATATCAGGTAGCAGTGAAAACATGCATTTAACAAACAAAATACCCAGTGACAACACACACTGTGTGGTCATTAATTCAAAGTTTCCTTTTATTTTAAATAATTTTATATAACAAATCTTAGTAGTATTCAAAATTCTCATAAAAGAATTAATGTACATCTGCATTCTTAAAAATAGCTACTCTTGAGGTTAACTGACCAAACTCACCTTAATTGAGTATGGTACAACAAACTAATGGAGGAACCATTTTTTCATAGTCAGTCTGAATTGTCCATTAACAAACTTGCTTTCCAGAAACAACTATGCAGTGACTTATGATGCCTATACATAACAGGTGAGACTTCAGTTAAAAATTAGTGGACATTTGAAATTGAATTTTCTTTAGTGTCTCACAATGATAGGTAACAGGTTGTAGGCCCAAGTTAATATGTAATCAATAAAAACATGTTTCATTGGAGTTGAGATATTTACCAAATACTAAATATCTGGTGACCCAGGATCTTGAGCCAAACCTGTTGTTAAAAGCAAAAGAAAATATTTGGTCTGGTTCATTGATAAGGTTAATGATGGGGTTCTTCACTCCCCTTCAGCTACACCCTTTCCACAAGGGAATGTTCCCAGTAGTGTTTTGTTTCTAAGACTAAAGAGACTCACTTGAGCACTCCAGGTCTGTTGGTATCAGTAGACACAAGACTCACTCTAAGTGTGACTAGTAAAACAAAATAGAAAAACATTTTTCCAGAATGTACCTGGACAGGCATCAGAATGCTTGGTAAATTCAATAAAATGCAGACTTTAAGGAATATACACAGCAGCTTTCACTTAAAGAATACCAGCACCTACAAGTAACAGATTTAACAAGTTAAACAATAAAATCCTAAATACTTAATTTCATTTAAAGAGACCAAACTTTTGCAGATCAGGGTATTCAGCAAAGACAATGTCATTAGAAATGATGTTTCAATGTCTCTCCATTCTAAGGCCTGACCATCTTTTACATTAGCTGAGTGTTAATAGATCCTCATTATAGTAAAAATTGTAGCAAATATCATAGAGCAAAAAAGAATGTATTTTCAACTGTGGTAAGACTGCAGCCCACAGGATTCTGTTAGTCAACTGTCCCCAAATGGAAAAAGGTTTTTCACTCCATTTTATTCAAGTATCTTAGTTTTAGGGTGGACGAATCTGAATTAATTTTAGAAGAGACCAAAAAGTTACTGTAGAAAGGTGTTGGCCTTGTGTCCATAAGAGCTATTTAGGTTTCTTATTAAAACAGATGCTGCATAAGCAGGAACTGGTACCTCAGGCGAGGGGACTCACGGGAACCCCTTCCTCAGGGCTTTGTTTTTCACCATGGTGAACTTACTGATGAAGACTTGAGCAAAATGCGGGTCGACCAGGTAATGGTATGTTTTCACGTTGGAGGGGAGCGGTTCCACAGGCACCACAGGGCATGGCGGTGTCTGCGTGGACGAGCAGCTGGGGGCCAAGTGGCAAGACGTCTTGGTGACGTAGTCCACCAGCCTGTTGTACTGCTGTTCCGACAGTCTTTCTCGGACTCGGTCCACCTGGGAGTAAAATGAACAATTCTGTAGTGACCCAATTCTCATAAGACTTCATAACAGAATTATCCCCTTTCTTTTGCCGTGATAGTTTTCATAACTTAAAAATGTATCTAAAAGCTATTTTATCCAAAAGTGCTTTTCCTTTTCCTGACTGTGACGGTAATACTGTGATTTCAGCAGTGTAACAAAAGTTCTGCATGAGAATATAAAGACAGCCTTCTGAGAATAAGCATTTGGTATTATATAAAATTCCCATGTTTCAAATTGACCATAACATTTTACTCAACGGCTAAACGTCTGTCACTGTTCTTTACTAACCAGCCCAGGGAACAGAGTGCCCTTCCTCTGCGTCAGTCTCCTCACCAGTAAAAGCTCTGACACGAAGGCTGTTTGCCTGTCTCCTCAGCCTTCAGACAGAACCTTAGTTGGACAGGAGAGTGGGGAAGCGCACCTCTTTCAAACCAATGGCTTTGGACAGAGCATTAAGAGAATACCTTTGAACCGTAACATTTACTGTTTTTATAAATACTAGGATTTAAAGCCAGAGAAAATAAAACTGGGCAGAGGAAGGGGAAATTTTTCTGGAAAAGGATGCAAAGTACATTTATGATTCATAAAAGTCTGGCTCATCTTCAGTGGAACTCAGGTAGAACTGAGATACAGTAAGTACCTAAGTCCTTCAAGTGAGATTTCCTGAGAAAGCATCCATCAAAGGCACTTGGAGCTCTAATTCTTCCCACCCTGAAACTAGCTGGTCTGTGGGAACAGGTAGCCACTGACCTTTCAGTGGTCTTTACCTGCTAAATGTTGGTGAGGCCACTCTGGCAGAATAACATTTAAAGGAGGGCTCTTCAGTCCTCCAAGTAGTAAAGAATGGTATGTATCTGTGTAGGGCACAAATACAGTCAAGGGTGTCTTAAACAGAAAGCCTGGGACAGTAGAGAGTGAAAGGGGCCTGCCAGAATAGTAAGTAGGGTATCTGTTAGCGTTCGGGTCTCATTTTAAGCTTAGGAAGGAAAATACAGGCCCCTAAAGACTCACTGACACATGAAAGCTGCACCACCAGGCACAAGCCAGAGCGCTGATATCATTTGATGGGGTCAGAACTCCGCTGGAAGGCTCTGAGTACACAAAGGTCTTAATTGCTCCTCCTGAACAGCAGCACAGGAAAGCCGTGTTGTGAAAGGAATCTGGCCAAGGAATAAATTGACCTTCTGACTCATTTTGAGCCTCTCATACGGGACTTCAATAATGTGCCAGGCATATTAAGCAATTATTACCCTAAAAATGGCTGCGTTTACCCAAGAAAAGCAAATGCTGCTTGTAGAAAAGCATCTGAATCCTGTCATATTTGAATATACTGAATGATGTCATCTACAAATTAATTCCTTTTAAAACTCAAAGGAACTGAGCCTCCTAGTTTCTAGGGCAGTGATGGTGAACCTTTTGAGCTCGGCATGTCAGCATTTTGAAAAACCCTAACCTAACTCTGGTGCCGTGTCACATAGAAATTTTTTGATTTTTGCAACCATAGTAAAACAAAGGTTTATATTTTTGATATTTATTTTATATATTTAAATGCCATTTAACAAAGAAATATCAACCAAAAAAATGAGTTCGCTTGTCACCACTGACACGCGTGTCATAGGTTCGCCATCACTGTCCTAGCAGCACTGCTGAGGGCCCCCTCCCATTTAGAATGTACGTGGGATTACAGCACTCCCAAGGAAGGGTTTACTCAGAAAAAAGGATTTTGTCTGCAGCTTGGATCTCCTTTGGGAGTGACGGGGAGGTTAGGATTTGGACAGAGGACTAAGGGGTCAGTTTCTTACAAGGGGAGAGGTGAAGTGAAATAGGTAATGAAAAAGAATTTGGAGACTGACGGCATACTGCATATCGACCCTCTCTCCAGTGCCAGGTGCCACTGTGTACGTGGCCGTCTGTCTCAGCTGCCCTGCAGCCCTGCTCTGTCTTTCCCTGCCTGCTGAGCCATCCCTCAATCCCAACCCTCGTTACCCCTGAACATCAAAGGAAAACCAGTGTAGAGCGTGGTGTCAAGGCAGTGCTTCTCTGCCTGTAACTCTGATCCCATGGTCTCCATTAGAAACTTGTGGGGGTGGTGATCCAGGTACCTCACTGATGGATAGAGAAACAGGTTTGTTTCCCCCCAGCTGTGATCATTCCCTACAGTACCCTTCACAAACAGATAAGCGAGAAGGATCACAATTGACTAAAGTAGCGGCCGTTTAACAGCAAAAGATGAATCTCCAGTCTCAATAGTTTAGGGTCTGAAATATTTCCCAAGCAGTTAAGGAATAATGATGGTCACAAATACTGCTCAGGGCCTTGGAAGTTTCTTGCTAACGACCAAAGACTTGAAGATAATGATGCTATCCCCTGCCAAATCCTGGAGCCACATCACTGGTGCTTTATTGTCAACTAGATCAGAAGATTTTGGCAGATCTAATAAAGTCAGCGTGGACATCTGACCTCTGTTTATTCCCAGAAAGTCATCAACTTGAAGCAGCAATGTAGTCCTTGTGCCAAGCCCTAGCTTAAAGCTTGACTGATTGTGATCCAAGAAACTAGAGAAATCTCAGTTGTTGTGCTTGGCTGCCTTCCACCTTCTCATAATTTTACCCAAGCAGTGGTGTGGGGGGACAGGCTCCCATACCAGCAGAAAAGGAAAGAAAGAATTAGGCAGGATCTGCTAGAGGCAAGTTTGCTGTCCTTTCCCTGGTTAGGACTAGGCAGCTCCACATTGTCCTCATCTTGCCATGTGGGTAAAGTGTTTCTGAGGTCGACTCTTAGGGAGGGTCGAGGGTCCTGTGGGTCAGGCATTAAGCAGGGTGGCAGGGGCAGAGAGCAGTTTTCCAGTGGGCGTACCTGCTCCCCAGGCTGGGTTGCAGGAAGCTGTGCCACTCCTGTCAGGTTTCATTCCTGACGCTCCGTATTCCATTGCCATCGACTTTGTGTGGCCAGCACATCTTAGGAGCTGGGTGGCCAGGAAGCTGCGCCAAGAGCCTAAGCAGAATCCCTAGGAGGTACCCAGGGGACTTACGGGGTGGGAAACTATCCTATGGGGAAGGGGACACAGCCACATAGGATACAGAGCAGCAGGTGGGGGAGAGATGTTGATTTATAAAATTTTGACCTCTCAAGTCTTAGGAATGGGGGAGTGAGTCAGACCTCCTGGCTTGTGAACTTGGCTAAGGTCTGGCCTACTACCCATGCCTTGTTTCACTCATAACATCCCACAATTCTTTAGCGGTCCGCCTCTGCTACAGACCTGCTGCAGCCGCCCAGGTCATGCCCTGGGGCCTGTTTCACAGAGTAGGTGCATGGCATCGCTGCCTTGGTCCTGTTCCTTGCACAGACCTGCTCATTTTGGAGTCCGTTGTCCTGGCCTGTCCACTCCCGCCCTCCAGCCCATGACCACCAAGCCTTGTTCATCATCTGGTGGCTTAGCCCCAGGCTGGGAACCCCCTGGACCTGCTGTTGGGCTCTCACATGTACATCTGGGTGACTCCCCTCCCCCTTTCCCCCCACACTCCCTCCTGAACTCTAGCAGCCACTCCAGAAGTACCAGTGGTCAGCCCACATCTTGACTTCGCTGGTAGTTAGCCCTGGTCCCTGTTTTCTGGACTGTACCTCCACATCACAGGCTGCTCTTGGCTGCTTGAGCTGCAGGATGAGCAGGTTGTTTTGCACGCTGTCCTGTGCACAGTCGATCTCCGTGACGGGGAAGGCCTGCTGCTGCGTGTCCTCGCTGACACTCACCACGAACAGCACTTCCGACGTTAGCAGCAGGCACCCTTCGTGCTCCTGGCCAGAGCCCCTCACCAGAACCACATCCAGGGCCATGTGGACGTCAGGTCTGCCCAGAGACTGAAGCATTTTCCTGTTCCAAAGGAGAAAACAGTCAATACCCATGCTCACTGTACCAGGGTTGGGACCAGATGCGACCTCCCCAAGAGTTTATTCATTTGATCTTGAAATAGAACTGTCACTTTAATTCTCAAAGTGATTCTGGTCCACCCCCATTCTTTTCCTTCCCATTAGAGATGCCATCCCTAATGACAAGGCTCGTTCCCTAGGAAACCTCAGGCCCTCTCACAAGCCAGGGGCATCCTGGGTGGGAGACCCAGATCTGGGTCAGCGGCCTCCCTCTGGCTCCAGGATGCCCTTGTGCTGCCTGAGATGCTGAAACAGCTGCTCCTGCGTGGCTCCCGTTAGCCTGAGATCCAGCCCAGCCCGTGAACCCAATGCGCATGTGCAGCTGAGCGAGCATCTAGAGGATTTTACCAGACGTATTTGACGTGGCTGTTAGGAGCCTGGGCAGCATGTAGATCACTTGGCTGGTAGCGCTGTTTGGGAAGCTGAGAAAGTCCAGCTCCGTGTAAAATGCCTGCGGTAAGAGAAGGAAGGAAGTTTTACTAGTTGTTTTCTGGAAAACAGTTCCATGCTACAGTGATGTCATCTGCTAAGAGCCATCATAAAATGCTGCAGATCCAACATGATGTCACATGTTTGGAAGCAAGTGAATAGATAATCATTAAACACTGCAATGCTCTTAACCCTGGTGATCTTACATCAGCTACAAACTGAAGTCTGAATGAGCTGCAGTCTAAGCACAGACTGCAATTAGAGGGAGCGTGATGCTCCTGGGAGTAATGGGTCCTGAGCAACGGCTCGCACATCATTTACAATTTATGTGATCAAGTCAAGACTGTTAGTTGACTTTGTTGCTTAATAATACAGCTGTATCTGTGCTGTGGCTGGTTAAATAGTAAAAAACAACGGAGATGCGCACAAAGGCACATGGTTTGTCTGGATAGTCCCTAAGTGACTTAATCCAGCTCTTAAGCATGAATCCACATACATTTACGAGCGCTCCGGTTTTTCACACGCCCCCCCTGGTGCCAGCACCCAACCAGGGCACCCAGCAGCAGCCATGTAGGCCTCCAGAGACTCCAGAGCCAACGATGGTACAGCCTGTGTGCTCTCAGGGCTGGGAAATGTTTATAAGCGAGGCAGTCATTAGACTAAGAGTTAGTGGTTTATAAAACCTTCAGTGCAGTCATAAAAGTTTTACAGGATGATGGAAACCACCGAGGCCATGTGAGGCTCTGCTCTGAGATGCTCTTACATAAGGAAGGGAGAGCCCTCAGCCCTGGGAACACACGGTGAGGGCCAATGGCATTTTTAAACCAAAGGAACTCATGAAGTATAAGTTGTCTTTTCCTCACAAGAAAAAGGGAGTATTTGACTTCATCCAGTGAGGACTTGCAGCAGTTCTTCCTGTCAGTTTCCTTGTGAGTGAAAATGTCATTCACAGGAAGAGAATAGAGAGGGAGGAGGCAGGGGAGAAGGAAGAGGAGCACATGTTTGTGTGTGTGGTCTCTTAAAGGAGCCTCTCCCTTGGCTGCCTGAGTGTGGGTATTCGTCTGCTCTCTCTTCCTTTCAGAGAGGGTTTTTATGCTCTGATCTGGCTGCCTCTTGTCAGATCAGATCTACTGAGGTGCAGGATGTCTGCAGTGAAGTGTCCCCCCAACCCACTGCCAGACTATGGCCAGATGCAGAGCGCTCACCTGTCTGGCAAATGACAGAGCCCGCCTGTAGTTTGTGATACTAATGAGACAGCCCACTTCACCACCAAAATGATGACACTGATTTCTGGGTAAAAAGATGACAGTTCTGGTCACCTGTTTTTTAAAAGTCACTTCCATGTGCTCTGTCAAGAATGCAGAACATAAGCATGGGATGGCGTGCTTCCTTTCCCATACACGGTCCTCCCATGTGCACCCGCATGCATGGGAGCCCGTGCAAGCAGTGCCACGATCCCAGGTCTCCAAGCTGTCTGCTGGGGGAAAGGGTTTTCACTGCAGCTCATACACCTTCGCTGCCCTTGGCTAGGACATTCAGCCTGGCTGCAGTGGCAGCATGGAGTCTGTGGGTGAGAAAGCCATGCCAAGTGCAAAGCTCTGTGGGCAAGTGTGCGCACACACATACATGCTCCTCTTTCTCCAAATGCATGTACATTGTAATATAAAGATATCTTTCTGCCTCAATCAATTTTTCCTTTTGAACTGCTCACCAGAAAAATAATTGTAATCATATTGTCCTCAACTTCTAATTGGTTACTTTTCATTAAAGTCTACTTTATTAAATGGATTGTTAAAAGATTCTGTGCCATGCATAGATATACTGAAATTACTAGTTGATTTCTGGTTCTAATTTGTATGTCACAGAATCTTTTAACAATCCATTTAATAAAGTAGACTTTAATGAAAAGTAACCAATTAGAAGTCGAGGGCAATATGTTGAAGTACTGAAATTGCTAACTGATTTCTGGTTGTACAATTTTATTACAACTTATTATTAGTCATACAATTCTACTCTTCATGCAAACAAGCATAAGGAGGTGAGGAAGAGAACTATTTAACTGCTGATTTATCACTTCTTCCTCCTCTGCCGCGTGTGGGCGAGGGTATCTCAGGGACTCCTGGTAGAACAGCACAGGTTACTTGGCCGTGTCCGAGCCGGCCCGCCAGGCTTCCCCGCACTCACCGTAGCCAGTCTGCGACACGAGCTCGGCAGCTCCTCCGATGGGTTTTGTGAACACCCCCATGATGCCTTTCCCCATGCCTGAGATCACGCCCTTGGCCTTGTGTCCCGCTGAAGCCTGAGCATCGGACGTTCTCTGGAAGTTCTGCATTGGCTGATCGACGATGCCAGCAATTGCACCTGAAACACAGCAAACGCCCAGTAAGGGCTGAGGCTTAGCATCTTGAGAAAGGGAAAACCGTCCATTAGGAACCCGGTTGCATTTTTGATTGACAATGAAAGCCCACCCTCATTTTAAGTTCTTTACATTTATTTACCAACCACCTACACGCACTGAGGGCAGTTCAAGTTAGACATTTATTGTCTCAACAGAATACAATGTTCAGACTGGGTTTGGTCCATTATAGTCAGGATCTGTGAAGTTCAGTTCAGAATTTAGTGAACATGCCAGACTATTCCAAAGTGACCCCCCTTTTTCTCCCCTCATTGCCTTTCTCCAAAAAGCAGGCAACACAGTTTAGGGAAGAGAAAGCCTGCTCAGACTAATAAATTTGCAATGAACAGGAGGATGAAAATAACTGGAAGGCTCAGTTCCTCTCCATGTTGTCACTTTTAATTAGAGCAATTATTAATAACTTAAATGTGTTAATTACTTAAAGAGTAGTTGATATAATAATTTCCATTACACAGTTCTGCATAACGACATTTGGGTCAACGACAGAATGCATATGTAATGGTAGTCCCGTAAGATTATAATGGGCCCTGGCCGGTATGGCTCAGCTGGTTGAGTGCGCCGAAAGGTTGCCAATTCTATTCTTGGTCAGGGGCCTGCAGGAGGCAGCTGATCAATGATTCTCTCTTGTCACTGATGTTTCTCTTCCCCTCTCCCTTCCTCTCTGAAATCAATAAAAATATACTAAAATAAATAAATAAAGTGAAAAGTAAGTGGCCAAACCTCAGTTGAAGTGAGAAGTTTTTTCCAAGACTAGCAAGGGAAGACACTGTTTCATAAACAGGATCAGTGAACAGCTTGGTGGTTAAGGGGGAGGCAGTGACCCAAGACCCAAAATCCTGCCTCAAGCATGGGACAGCTGTGTGACCTTGGGGAAAACTCCTTAACCTCTCAGTGGCCTGATCCAGGAAGTGAGGATAAGAACCATGCCTGAATCCTAGGACTATTTGGATTAATGATTTCATACAAGCAAAGCTCTTAGCACAGTCTCCCAGCACAGATTAAACACTCAGGTTAGCTAAGTCATATGCAGCTTAACGATGGGGATATGTTCTGAGAACTGCATCACTGGGTGATCTTGTCATTGTTCAGATATCATGGAGTGCACTTATAAACCTGGATGGTGCTACACACCTGGGCTACATAGTGTAGCCTACAGCTCCTGGGCCACCAGTCTGCACAACACGTTACTGTACGAAACAACATGATGAAATCAAGCATAAGAGAAAGTGATGCGAAGAAGAGCTGTGGTGAACCTGAGCTGTATGAGGCTGCTGCTGTTGTAACACGGATGCTGTTTTACAGCCAACTTTCTTCTATAGTGTGCACACTAAAATCACGAGAAGTACATACAGCAGGTCCTCGAATAGTCATCTCTGTAATGCTGATGAGATGCCATAGAAACGTCTCTTTTATGTCAAGCAGCCTATGGCGAAGTTTGCTAGCCACGGTGCCACACTGGCAGGCCTCTTCCCTTTGGAACAGCTACAAAACCTGCCCCCGCTCTGCCTCCGCGGACGGCTTTCCCATGGGGTGGTCTGTTCCCCTGCTCTTACTTTGAGGGGCCAATGATGCGATTTAGCCAAGGCCTCACCAGTCCAGTGTTTTCCGTAATGGAGTGGAGGGTTCCCTAACTCAGTAAGAGGTAAAAATTTCCCTCCAATTCTTGACAGAATCCGTTTTCAACTCAAACCTGCTAGGATTAATGAAAATGCACAGTCCCCTGTAGAAACTTCAGTACATGTCAAATCCCATTATTCCAAATGCCACTAATTCAAGGTCTCTTGGGAAACAGAGGTTTCCAGGTCTCAGTTAATGACCTGCTAATTTCAAGCAATATTCCATGGAACAAAATCCAGTAAAACCAAAGGCCAGTTCCTGCGGGTCAACTGTAAAGGGAATGTGCTTCAAGGATTCCATTCCTCTCAGTTTTGACAGAGCCATTTAAGTTTATGTACTGACAGATTAAGAATGACCTGAGGCGACAGGTCCGTTTCCCAGCCTCGACCAATGCTGCTCAAACCGTCTACAGAAATGATGCCGGAAGCGGGGGAGCGGCTCGCAGCTGGCCCTCGGCTCTGGCGATGGAAGGTGGAAGGATCACTGTTTCAGTGACACCCAATCCTGGCACCGAGCCGGGAGCCCGCCTCACATTTCCAGTCGCAGGAAGCCGATGCTCTGCTCCCCACTAGGAGGTCAGGAGTCAGCGCAGCTGGGCGCGTTAGTGGACCGGCCACAGTGGAGGTGATGGCTGCCTTCAGCGTGCGGGAGAGGCCTGGTCACCAACTCGTTTCATAGCAGACAGTTCAAAATGGTTAGCACAAAGCCCGGGACCACGGCTCCTGTGATTTCATCATCTGGTTCTGACAGGTCTCTGAGTGTGGTGATTGTGTGTCGGGGGGAGCAGGGGGAGGTGGAAGTGGGCATAGAGGGGATAAATGGTGATGGAAAAATAAAAGAGGAGGAAAACTGGAGTAAATAATTACAAACTCATCAATCAATTAAATTCTTGCCTGCATTTCTGGTAGAAATGTCTATTCTCAAGTGCAGAGTCCCATAAGCCTATAACAACCGAGTTGGAGGGCTGGCGGTTGTTTTGGGGAGCATCTCCCATTTCCCTTTAATGTGCAGGCCTAACCGTAGTGGGCCTTGGGGGCGTGGCTGTCCACCACAAGGGCTCCAACTCCCACCTGCCTGAGTGAAAACAGGTATCACAGTGACACTCCCCTTTGATCTTCGCTTCCTCCAGCCAGCGGCCAAAGTGAAGGCTCGTTACTATGGCTTTGACAGATAAGCTATTTGGGCCTCCGGAGAGAGTGGAAAGCCTGTAGCCCATGACAAGGTGTTAGGTTCTCAGAGGTAGAGGAGAGGCTGTCAGACCACATGCCATCGCCGCCCCAGACCCTGCCGGGGGAAGCTGCCCGTCACGCATGCACACCGACACCTCCCTGGTCTCCAGGTGCGAGCTGGGAACAGAGAGGCTGCAAGCGATGGGCAGTCAGTCCTGTGTCCGGCCTGAGAAGCAGCCTCCCCGAGGGCTGCAGAGGCTCTTACCAGCAGGACCCACCACCCCACCACTGCTGTTATTCACTGCGTATGCTCACACGGCTCAGAGGTTTAAGTAGTGGAAATTGAGCCCCACACTTGTCCTTGGCGCCAGGCCGTGGGGTGGGCGGCCACCTGGAGATGGCTGTGAAGTGATGAAGTGAGGCGAGGAGGAAAGGCGCACCTGGAGGTGTGTTCACAGACCCCTGTGCTGGCCACGGCACGGACTGCGGCGGTGTCTCCTCTTCTAACCTTCTGCTGGGAGGGGAGGCTTTGAAGCCAGGGAACTAGAAGGCCTTCCCACCTCTTCTGGGACTTGCTCCTTGCCTCAGGCCAGAAACCCCGTCCCTGAGCTATGAAATTCCTGCCTGTCCGGTTATTTTGGTGCTGTCCTTACCACACATTGTAATTCTATTTGGGGCACTTCAAAATAAATCGCAAAAGCAAAGGTACAGGCCGAACCTGGGACACCCCTCCACAGCTCACCGTTCCAGAGACAAACAGCGCATCGGCTAGTCCAGCTTCAGGTCAGCAAATTGAGAAGGAAGCACCGTCTTCCTGAACCCTCCCCCCTGCAAACCCATCTGTGGCGCTGACGGTGGTGTCAGAGATGACCTGGTGCCGTCTCTTGGGTGCACAGTTCTTGGCTCACTGGAGGGAAGTGTCCTGCTCATCTGGCGGAGGCCTATTTTGTTGGGATTCCACATGGCACCCCAGGAGTGGTGGTGGAGGGTATGGCTGCCAGGAAGTCAGTGATGCTTCATAGTCAGGCAGCAGCCCAAGAAGCGTGGGTCAGAGCAAGTTCTGACGTCCTGCCAATGGGACTCACGAGCGAGAAGTGACGTCTGGGGGAACGCAGAGTGTAAGGGTGATAAGGAGCCACGTCCTCTCAGCACAGACTCCAGGGAGGGTAGAAAATGGAGCGTCTGGGGACTAGGTCTGGTACATGTGGGCGAGCCCAATGCCAATTCTGCAGCCTACACAGCCTGTTCCAAAGCTGTTGTTTTTTCCAAAACTGTGGTGGATCCTGTCCAGGGCCTTGGCCACATCTCTCAGTGGCATCTCTGCTGGCTGACACTTGTTGTTGACCTCAGGCGATGTGGCTGGGCACAGCCTCAGAGACTCCCTTTGATTTTTCAAGTGTCTCATACACTGCACAGCATCTCCATGAGGGTGAAGCAGCGCCAGGAAGGCCCACCACCCCATACACATTTGGGGGATGTGCTTTCC